CCCCCCCCCCGCAGTCCCCTCGGCGGTGCGCCGTCCCTTTAAGGATGTTACAATGAAAACATTGCTGGTTACAAATGATCTTTTTTTTTATAAAGTTTCTTTTTGGCGTTTTTGGCCAATCGGGAGCTTCGCTGAGCCGACGGCGGTTCCCCGACCCAAACTTTTTATGTCCTGTGAGCTGAACCCGAGCCGGCTGAAGCGGCGCGCGTCATAAAACCGTTTCCTTTGTGTCAGTAAATAAATAATTGTTTCTTTTTTTTTGATACTTTGTTGCGTCTGCTGAGCCGCTGATCTCCTGCGGCCACTTCCTGTCTACATAACTCCAGCGATGGCCACATGTCATTCCTCAGGGCGGTGACATGATGGTGACAACGGTGGGCCGTGTCTGTGTAATGTGTGCTGAATCAGCCACTTGTAGTCATAGCGAGCCCATGTGGCAAGGTGACAACGCAAGAGCACAATTGAGAGATGGGGAAAGAGTGTTGTCACCCTCAGGCGATATGGTCAGATCTGACCATACAATCAACCAACTTTAGATCTACCAAAACTATATACTATGATGACCAGCCTGTACCCTCTAATCAGTTTGTATCCCATCAGGCAGGCTCTCGAACTACATTCTTGTTGGTAGAGCTAAAGGAGTACCAGGCGTAGTGAGCTTATAACAGGAAGTGCCAGAAAAAGGACGGAGTGTTGTCACCCTATAACAGGAAGTGTCTGAACAGGGACAGAGTGTTGTCATCCTATAACAGGATGTGCCAGAATTAGGACAGATTGTTGTCACCCTATAACAGGAAGTGCCTGAGGAAGGACAGAGCGTTGTCACCCTATAACAGGAAGTGCTTGAACAGGGACAGAGCATTGTCACTCTATAACGGGAAGTGGCAGAACAAGGACAGAGCTTTGTCACCCTATAACAGGAAGTGCCTGAACAAGGACAGAGCTTTGTCACCCTATAACAGGAAGTGTCTGAACAGGGACAGAGCGTGGTAACTCTATAACAGGAAGTGTCTGAACAAGGACAGAGCATCGTCACCCTAGAACAGGAAGTGTCGGAACAAGGACAGAGCGTTGTCACCCTATAACAGGAAGTGCCTGAACAGGGACGGATCGTTGTCACCCTATAACAGGAAGTGCCGGAACAAGGACACAGCGTTGTCACCCTATAACAGGAAGTGCCTGAACAGGGACGGAGCGTTGTCACCCTATAACAGGAAGCGCCTGAACAAGGACAGAGCATTGCCACCCTATAACAGGAAGTGTCTGAACAGGGACAGAGCGTGGTCACCCTATAACAGGAAGTGGCAGAACAAGGACAGAGCGTTGTCACCCTATAACAGGAAGTGGCAGAACAAGGACCTCCATGGTGGGACCTCCCGGGATTATTAGAATGAAATCTGCAGATTTGGAATGATGGGATTATGTTAAAGCTTCAATGAGAGTTGAATGATTGGGGTCACCCCCTCCCCCCTGTAGACTTTTTTCGGATAAGTTTCGGCACTACTTAGAGGTTAAAGGTCACCCTTGTAGGGGTTTGACCTTTGCCGAGGTTATGGCTTTTGTAGTCATTCCCCCAGACAGTGCTCCTCCCATCCCCCGCTCTCCGGATACATTGTAGATGAGATTTTATTGTCGGTGACACTTGATTGATACATTCTTTTTATATCGGGGCGGAAGGGGCGGTCATGTGACTTCACTTTGCTGTGAGTGGAAACGGTAAAAGATGAACTCCTGATTGGCCGCTCCGGGTCACATGCTCGTCGCCTTCTTCTCGTATCCGTACAATCATCAAACTTTATTGTTCACAAATCGTAACTTATTATTAACGTTGTTTCAAAAGTCGTCTTCCATGTTTTCTGAATCTGCAGCTTTCACGTAAATTTGTACCCGGTGATCCCGCCACGGAGGTCCTTGCTCAGGCACTTCCTGTTACAGGGTGACAACGCTCTGTCCTTGCTCAGGCACTTCCTGTTATAAGGTGACAACGCTCTGTCCTTGTTCAGACACTTCCTGTTATAGGGTGACACGCTCTGTCCTTGTTCAGGCATTTCTTGTTATAGGGTGACAACACTCTGTCCTTGTTCAGACACTTCCTGTTATAAGGTGACAACACTCTGTCCTTGTTCAGGCTCTTCCTGTTATAGGGTGACAATGCTCTGTCCCTGTTCACACACTTCCTGTTATAGGTTGACAACGCTCTGTCCCTGTCTCCCAATTGTGCTCCCGCGTTGTCACCCTTCACATGAGCTTCCAATGGAGAATACAAGCGGCCAACACACATTACACAGACACGGTTCATTCTGCACCACACAGCAGAGTCTCACTCCTGCTGCTGCATTCTTTGTACGGAGACATGTCTATCCCCAGCCCGTCCCTTGTCTTCCTGTATCCAGTGATTTGTCTTCACATTGGTATAAGCAGAGACGTTTTGATGATGTTGTCTGTGTGTTGGATGGTTGAGTTGGGGGAGGGGCCTAATCCCACCTTTGCGTCTGACGGTCGCGGTCTACTCTGTGATTTTCCGCATTCTTGTTCAGGTTGTCACCCCATCAATGCTGCTTGTACAGCTGCAGCTCAGGCAAATATTTGTTTTTTGTCATAAAGGTCCAGCCGGCTCTGCGAGGGTTACAGGACGCCATTCGCTCAGGGATGGTGGGAGCTCCTCATAATGGGCACAGCGGGTGTACAGCCCCGGGAACTCAGCACAGGGATGGGGGAGCCCCTCATAATGGGCACAGCGGGTGTACAGACCCGGGAACTCAGCACAGAGATGGGGAGAGCTCCTCATAATGGGCACAGCGGGTGTACAGACCCGGGAACTGGTTTCTGTGCTGTCATTGGCTGAGTTGTCGTTATATAATTTGCCCCCATAATAAGTGTTGGAACCCTTTCAATCCTCGTCATGCTCTGATCAGCTTTTCCAAGTGTGTTGCCCTTCAGGACGAGCTGCACTGGCGCGGTTCCCACGTCTCGCAGTCACTGACACTGATCCCCGAAGACATCCGCATGCAGGATGCTTGTCCTCCAGACCCTGTGTACACGCCGGTGGCTCTGGTAGCGAGTCCTTAGGAATATCGGGACCTCCTGTTGAGTCTCTTTGTTCTTCTCGGCATCTGGTGTCGGGTTCTGATGGCCATAACCTCAGTGAGATCCCACCTTTGGTGCTCCATAGTGATACAGACCATGAATTCCATCGGCCTCCTGTTTTGGACTTCACAACAATAGATGAAGTTGAGTAACAGGAGGTCAATGGAATCCATGGCCTGTAGCATTGTAGGGTCACGGTGAGGTCTCATTGTGCTTAGAGCCATCAGTGTCCTACACCAGATGTTGAGTTGAACACGTCAAGCTCAGCCCCCACCTTGGAGGACCTGGATATCCCCTTGTGTCTGGGTCATTGCCCGGAGACCTTTTCGGAATGGCAATGCCAGCACTGGTGTCGTTCTCAGGGACATTTGACCCTGCTTGCCGCAAAGTAGAGGTATCTTCAAAAGGAGATCCTACGCTATATCAATTCTTCTCAAGTTCCTTGTGATCTGTAGGACTTATGCTCTACAGG